CTCCTCCTCCTCCTCCTCTTCCTCCTCCTCCTTCCCTTCCTCTTCCTCCTCCTCCTTCTTCTTCTCCTCCTCCTCCCTCCTCCTCCTCCCCTTTTTCCTCCTCCTCCCCTTTCTCCTCCTCCTCCTCCCCTTCCTCCCCCTCCCCCTCTTCCTCCTCCTCCTCCTCCTCCTCTTCCTCTAGGGGCATGCATTTGACTGACTGCTTTGCCAGCTACTCCCTAACCTCCTGGTCTCCCACATATCTGAGCTTACCTGGATCTCTGCAGCTTCATTCATTCCTTCCTCCATTCACCACTTACTGCCAGATACATCCAGATACCTGGGCCAACTGGCAGATAGGGGGTCTCATAACGCTAGGCAGTCTGGCCAGGTGCTGGGCCTAAAATAGGCATCTAGGGGTGTGTAGGAGGAGTGGGGAAGTTCAGGGAAGGCTCCTGCTGCCCCACGTCACCTCCTCCATGAAGCCCTCCGTTCCCCTGCCAGCATAGAAGATGTGCAGGAATGAAAAGCAGGCATTGTTTTCATGTCCTCCTTCCTGCAAAACCCCCAAACCCTTCATCTGCTGGGGCAGAGGTGAGTGGCCTGGGCATGGACTCATCCAGTCCACTCAGCAGCCTGTTCCTAAGATGGGCTTATGAATGGACCTGTGGGGGCTGGATGTGGTGGGATGGGTGGGAAGGGCATGTGCAAAGGCACTGAGGTAGGGAAGCAGGCCCCCATCTTACCCTGCCCCTCTCTCAGCCTCTCAGTAGCCAGAGCTCCCAAAGAGGCTATAACACCAGCTCAGCTGGGCTGGGACCAGCTCTGACTCCAGTCCAGGCTAGATGGCCAGTGGGGCAGGGGCCCTGCACCGTCCCCATCCCCTCCTGGCAGCAGGAAGGGAGCTAAGCAAGGAAGACCCAGCCCTCAGCCTGTGCCAGGCTCTTTACATGGACTCCTCACAACACCCCGTGGGTGCCGTGCCATTTCACGGCGGAGGACACGAAGCACAGAAGAGAGTGGCTGGCCAAGGCCACACAGCTGGTGAGCCACCCACCTGACCTTGACTCCAGAAGCTCCATGCTGCCTGGGAGGGCACGGCAGCCCCATGTGAGGGCTGTCAGCCTTTCTGACCCCAACATCTCTGGCCTCCCACTGACCTAAGTCTGATACCACCTGGCCCCAAAGGGGCTCCCCTCCATACACCTGCGCAGGAACAGCCCATGGACCTGCATCCCCATGGTCCCCGGCAGGTCCACAGGGCTCCCGAGTCTTGGAGACCGATAGCCATGTGGTCAGTTCTTCTGGCTCTGCACCCCCCACCCCCCCTGAACAGGGCAGAGCTCCCCCACCCCGAGCCTTGCCAGATGCTCCTCTCTCAGCCAATCGATGCTAACCGAATGGCTCTTGTGGTCAGATAATGGCCTCAGGCCGGGCCAGCTATGTTCACAGAGCTACTGGCGCCCAGGTCACTTGGCGCTGTCCCTCTGTGATGCACCCAAACACAGGCCACTTCCTGGTGAGCATCCCCCCACCACCTCAGCCTGGCTCAGGCCTGGAGACAAGGAAGCCAGCCAGGGCAGAGCTGGGCTTCCCTCCTGAGCCCCCACCGCCAGACATGGGGGGCTGGGCAGAGTGGCTGGTGTCTCCCAGCTCAGGGCAGTGGGACGGGCACAGGCTTTGGAGCCACAGAGACCTGGGTCCCAGCTCCCCCGTTTAACAAGTGTGTCCCCTTGCTTGTGTGAGCCTCGTTTTCCTCACCTGTAAAGTGGGTATTGTCTTTTAAAGCTGCAGCCTGGCCCTCTCTGTCTGCAGACGCCTGTATCCACCTGCCTCCTCCGTACCTCCACTGGCCAAACGCAATCCGTCCAACACTAAGCTGCCGCTCTCCCCCCACAACTTCCTCCATCTCAGGAGAAGGC